GTTTCTATGCAGATGGAAAGTCTCCTGCATACTTTCAGGATTAATATACATTCATGTTCCAAAGTAATGTGTTTCCTGCTAAAAAGAAAAGCACTCGGATGAAGACTCTGCAAGTACAAATGTTCTGAGCTTATAATGTCATTTATGAAAGAAATGAACAACGTGCTCAGAACAAAGCACAGCACTTCAGTTGCATTTCATCCCTAGCTTTGTGCCTCATTAAACAACCAGGAGCTCCCAAGGTGACTCAATCACTCTTGAAATGTTTGTAACGGATCTGACAGTTGATGGGCAATTTAGAAACAAAATTACCTTTTTCTCACAGACAATAGTCTTAATTGTTCCTTGCCTCATGTTTGAAGTGTATAAAATATAGTCTATTTGATCTTGAACGAAGTAAAAAAATTAACTAACATAACCATATCATAACCCTCCTTGTAACATCAGAGGATGCTATAAAAGGAAGGATAAAGAAGAGGACACATTCTCATTCATCATTTGTTTCCTTTACTTTCAATTGAGTATTACTCACTCAGTTCAACCAGTAGGGTATTCACACGCTGAATTCCTCACCTCACCAGGTGTTCATGTTAGCCTGAGTGTTCCATTTACCACCCTTACAGGTGGCCAAGGCCTGTCTCTACTCCAGGAAGTCTTTATTTGTTCAAATGTACTTCTAGCTATTAGTAAACCTTTTGCTCAGCCACACATTGTAACTCTTAAATCTTTATTGTGTGTGTGTTCAATCTCATGTTACACTTCAGAACTCTGAGCCAAAGACAAGTAAATAACTTGGAAGCCATAGATGGGAAGAGAGGGAGCAAGAAGTCATAGTTGAGTAAAACACTTGAAAGGCCTCATTATATGTCAGTGAGGCTGCTGTATTAGGTATCAATTGTCATTGTCAACTGATCTGTTTGACTGTTGTACTTTGAGAGATTGCAGTTGACAGGACAGTATCTACCATCAGTTTGTGTGACAGAGGTGCTTAATTTTTTTGATCTAGAGGTGTTGACTTGCTTTGGTGGATCTTAAACCTCCTTCTCACATGTGGTCTGCAGCTGTTCATATGTCTCAGGTCTATGTTTTACCCATTGCTGTGGTTAGAGGGCTAACATGTGAATTCAACTGAGAACATGTAGTGGCTTCCATACCCATCTACATGGCCTTACAGCAAACATCCTAGACAGAGGTAAAGTGGTGCTGTTTTTTGGTGTTTTCAATGGTACCATTCCAGAGGTGTTAGCATTGGAAATCTCTTCAAGCCAGAATTTCAAGGAAGTGAAGCTTTGAGGTTTTTTAAAGTGAGAGCAGGTATCCAGCCTTAGGCCAGCCTTTACACTGGATCATCACAAACAGACACAGAAAAAAGTACTTGTGGCAAAGCCTGCAGCTGCCCCTCAGGAAAAAAAGCAGTTTGTGTAGCATTTCAATTACTGCATAGCCACTTTAAAAGGAAAAATGTTCTTTTTTTAGTTCGCCTTTTTTTTCTTTTTCTTTTGATCTTTGGAGTCTGCTACAAAAATTACTGGTATTAAGATTTGAATTTTTGAAAGAGGAGATGTGATCTGAACATGACATTAGGATGCAGAGATTCTTTCTAAGTTGGTTTCCCAAGCTGCCTGACACATATCAACTGCTGAGCCTGCCTCACCTCTTCTATTATAAAATGTTGATGTTGTTTACGTACTTCAAAAGGACTGGTTAATTAACAACAGCTTGTAGAGTAATTTCAAGATGGAAAAACATGGCAATTACTGCAAACAGTAAAGGCACTGCAAGCTAATTTTCATTGATGATAATGTTGATTAACAAATACAGAGCTCTAATAAACACTGTTACTGCTTTTGAGTGCAGGAGCAGGTGAAGAGTTGCCATGAGACCTGATGCAGCTGAGTGTGCTCAGTTCAACACTACTGGTGTCTCTTTATTATTATGATAATTGTGTTCATTGATTACTAGGAGTAGATTTACCAAAGTGAGGGGCTGACACTCTTAACTCTGACTGATGGTGTAAGTGCTCTGTGTTATCTCAAGGGAGCAAGCACATAGTGACAGTCTCACTCCTTCTCCTTCTTACGGTCACCTTGCAATGGGCTCTCTCCCAGGTGGATGGCAATACAAAACCAATAGAGGGGTGTAAGGCACCATACAAACAGAATTCTCTTTAGCATTAGGAGTAATTTATGAGCATTGCTCCTTACTTAGTTCTCAATTCTAATCACCAGCACCCTGAATTCGTTTAACCTTCTCTTCTTGAAGAGATGGCAGGTTTCCTGGTGGGTTTCTTTTGATGTTGAGGCATTTTGCAATGACTTAGGGCTATACTAAGGATCTTCTATCTAGTAGTTCAAGAATTTTAGGAGACTTCTGTTTTTCATCTGTCCCTACCCATTTGTTTTACTCTGTTTTGTTATATCCAGCTCCAGTAAATGATCCACTGGGTAATGACAATTGTCAAATTAATGTCAAAGTAATATTTTCTATTTCCTTGAAACAGATAAAACTCTCATTTAAGAGGGATAAATATAGGTGCAAACTTCATCTCATTATTTTCAAACTCTGTCTTGTGAGTTAATATGATATTGGTTACTTGTTGCCTTAGCAACACAATTAAAAACATATTTTGAAAAGGAAAGGACACTTTGCTTTCTCTTGAGTAATGAGCTGAACAGCCCTTCTCTGCAATGTTCTTATTTTCAGTGAAATATTTACTTTCTTTAAAATAAGAAAATTATGTTTTGTGCATTTCCCTTGATCAACATAATTGCTGAAAAATGTGTACCTTTCACATAATTTGGTTTTCAGGTGATCAGCTGAGAAGAGTTGTCATTCCAGTCCTTTGCATGGTTCTGTTAATGTAGTCATGGAGCTATGGCCTAATGTGAAAGGTGTATATGTTATAGGAGGCTTGGTCAGAAAGCACAGTTCTGCCTCCTTTCAGCTGTGTGCCAGATCAATATCTTGCTGTTTGAAGATCTAGGCCATGAGATTTGAACTGCAGAGTCTGATGGTGCTGGACTGTTTGTGATGGATGTGCTACAGTACCAAGATACAGGGAAACATGGCTTGGCTCCATAACTCCATAGATAGTTGCAATAGCAGAGGGCTGTGTTTTGTCTTTTTACGAATGTGATGATAAATCAGAAGATCTCTGAAGTCATCTATGCACTGTAGAATGCTTTTATGTGTTTTAATAATTCTCTTTTTACCTGAACACCAAAGCTGTATGATCAAGCATTACACTCTGGGAATTATTTGCAGCTGCAAGCAAGTACCTTAATTTTCTTGTAAGGTCAGTAAAAAACCCAGACCCTTTCAGACAGCAGTTCAGAAGTAGTATTTCTCTTAGTGCTCCAAGGACTGGCCTCTCTCTCTCTCCATCGTCTAAATACAAAGCATACGAATATGATCTTGCTAATAAAAAGCATTTCAGTTAGATAGCTGAAGTGATGCATAGGATGGTTGTGTGGGACCATTGCAAATTGCTGTGGTGAAATGCCATTGTCTATCTACAGGGTGGAAATTGCCATAGTGAAATGCCCTTGTGTCTTTACAAGGCAGATACGGAAAAAATAGCACTTGATTTCGCAGATCTGCACCCTGAGCATATTCAGAAACAAGTCTGCTATATAGATAACTTGATGGGAGTGTACTGGCTTACTCCTCTTGTCACTGCACAGCCAAGTAGGCAGAGAGTAGCCTGCTTTTGTCTCTGTACCGTCAAAACCACTTACAAAGTCCAAATCAGTTAGAATGTGTAACACAACAGAAAGATGCCAGTGTGAGTATAATTTGAGTATGATGTGCTCTATTAAATAACTGCCGGGTTTTGATTATTAAAGCCTTTAATCCTGCTAAATGGTGCATGTAAAGCAGAGGACCAGATTAATTTTAGATCCCAGTTGAGATTGGAAGGCTGAACTGAGCAGATCTGATGAAGAGCCAATATACATAGACAATCATGATGTCATTTTAACAGGATCACTACGCAAATGAATAGTTCTTTTCCTTAAATAGATGCCCAGAGCTCATCACCAGGAACAAATCTTGTTTCATTTTTCATACTGTGTACCAAAGTCGTGAATGCATGCTTTAAAAGAGAACCTCTACAAATAAATTCACAACATTAGCACAATATGTGATTAAAAGGATAAGTAATAAGGTTTGGGAATAATGTGAACAGTTTAACATTTCCCTGAGTATTAGTTAAGAACTTAAAATGTGAGGTGTGTTAGAGTTAATGAAAGCCATCCTACATGAAATAAGGACACAATGTAAGGGCTTTGTGCCTTTTTATCAAGCACAATAAAAGCAGAAAATACATGCCACCCATTGACTGATCTCACATCACAATATTTTGATTACTATTAATAGTCATATGCCTCAATAATCTTGAGGACTCTGGTACATTAGTCCTGCTCTCACTGCTTTCAGTGGCAGAACTAAGCCTCCTGTAGGTTTCAGTAAGTACAAATTGTTGCCTTAAATGACAAACATAGAAACAAGAATATGTTGTTATTTACTGAGCTATGTTATTACAGTGTCAAAGTCCCTTGGTCCTTAGTCAGATAAATTTCTTAGTCAAATAATTTTGTCAGTCAAATAAAATCCCCATTAATTGTAATTAGTGCTCCATGAGAAACAAAGTTTTGGTATTCCATGTTTAAAAATAAAGGATTTGTATTCTGAGGAAGGGGAGAAAGCGGTTGCTTTTTGTATGCAACATCCCTGCACTCACCTATAAAGTGAGAGTTACAGCTAAGCCTCTGAGCCTGCAGCTTGCAGCTGGAAGGGGGTGCTTGGTGGGTGTGAAGCTCTCTGCTAGCAGATACAAAAAGGTTTATTGTCTCAACATTTATCTTTTTACATTTTTGGCTGATGCTGGTAGCTCCTCTCTATCTGTTATGTTTTATACATATTATCCTTAACAGCAGAAGTCGATTGCTGCTTTCAATGCTCTGCTGACTTCTTTTCTCATCCCCTTGGTACTTTTTCAGACCTGCATCTCCCAGTTGTCACTCCAGAGTGTTCTGGCCAGCCTGGACCGTCGAGGGCCAGTGCCGCAAGCACTGTGTCCCAGGGCAGCGAAAGCACTGACAGGTCACGTCTGCAGCACTGGTGGAAGCAGAGCACGAGCACAAAGTTGTAAGCTAATGATACCCCACCTTCAGAAACTGCCAGTGCTTCATCATGCAGCTAGCTGGGAGTCAGGGATGCAGGATGTAGAAAAAAATAGGAGACCACAGCAGATGGAGCACTTGGATGTATTGCATCTCATACTTGCATAATGTTTGTTACTGTACTAGCAAAGTTTGCATGTGTTTTGAGTGTAAACATCTAAGTCTTTATGTTGAGGGCATTGAAGCACCTAGACAGATAAATACAGACCCAGAGATGCCCCTGAATGTTTAGGTCTCATGGTGGCTGAGCTGTTTCCTGCTCCCATCCCCGGCTTGCCCCTACCACAGGCACACATATGTAATCCTTTGCACAGAGATCCTCCCTTAAGTGTAAAATTAAGAAGTACTCAACAGCTCTGTCCAAGTGCTGTTTCCTACATTACAGTATTTCAGAAATTTTATGCTCTGATGATCTGCCATTCTGCAGAGAGGAGAAAAAGGTCTCTTTAAGATAGATGTTATTAGACCTCCTTAACAGATAGCAAAATTGAGGTCTGGAAAGGCCATGTATTGCCAAAAATTACACAGAAATGGGAGGAGAGCCCTTTGTCTTATACCAGTAATCAATCTTATAGGCTCATAATTTGTATAGTCATCTTCTCATTGCATTTGCTATGAGGTAGATTGATACTCAAAAAGTTTAACAGGCAGATTAATAGCCACATTTGTGAACATGCTCAAGTATAGCTCAGATTTCCCAAATTAATGAGTTTTTAAATAACAAATTTCTTTTCCTTGGGTTTGGGTTGGTTTTTTTTCTGTCCTGTTTCTATGGCTGATTCTTTTTTTGTGTGTGCTATGGGAGCTGTAGGCCAGTTTTTAGACAGCCATGTCACTTCCTAGACAAAATTAGCTTGCATAATTCTTAGGTTTAACTGATTTATTGTGGGTTATTCCTAGGTATCCTAGTATTTCATAATATTTGGAATTACTGTATATGGCTTTCATTAGGGAAACTATGCAGCACCACATGTTTCTGTTCTTTTATTACACTGAAGAAAGTGCTAATGGTAGTGCAGTCTTTCCATAGGGTTGGGTGTGTTGTTTTGTTCTGAATTCACTACAAATCAGTGTTAAATCTGGGTACCTTGGCTATGCACTTCTGTTATTTAAACTACTTGTATTTCTTTAATGTTTAATTTAATCTTAATTTAATCTTTCACTCTGAATGTCCTGAGTTTGCAACAATTGCAATATTTCCATAATGCATTTACCCATATGTACTCTCAAACATCACTCTCTCCTAATCTAGTTGCTTTACATGTTTGGAAATTAAGATTTAAAAATGCTGAAAGCAATAAAATGACTTTATGTAAAGCTTTGTTCCTGCTTGGTTTAATCTACCGTGTTGCTTAACTTGGGAGAAAAATGGCTAATTTCCTATTTCCACTAATTTCACTATTTCACTATTTTCTTATAGCTCATTTGCAAAAGCACTGCATTAATGCTATGTATTTTTATTACTTTCCAGGAATCAAGTATCACTTTCACCAGATCACAAGGACATCCTTAAAGCTCAAGACCTTTCTGTCATCATCAAAGCATATGTGCTTGTGACATCCTTAACACCTCTGCGAGCATTTATTCATTCAACCACCACTGTCTGGCATCCACCCAAGAAGAAGCATTTTACCATAAAGGTAAAATATTTTATTTCCTAATTTTTCTATCTTTCAGGCAAAGTACATAGACAGAAAACCAGAGAATCTCTTTGTTCTCTTTTACCCCTTCCTTATTAGCAGTCCACAGCCTATGATGAATATTCTCCTAATGGACTGCTTTCATTTTTCAGAATGAGTGTGATTTGCTTCATGAAGCAGGGAAGTGTTGCCCTGTGCAGTGGGGACCTGGGATTTGCATGCCTCAGAGCCCATTTTAACTGGTGACATTTGACAGCAGTTGCAAGGTTGGAGTTTTCTCTAAAGCACAGCAGTGTGGGTGCTGCCATGCAGTAACAGCTTTTGCTGGGATATTGACAGTGTTGTAAAACAGGAAAGTAAATATTTAGAATGGTTTGTTTAGATTTCTTTTTTAGGTGCAGTAAAACAGACTAGAGGAGGGTCAGGGCACTTCTAAATAAGGGGAAGGAAGTATGCCATGGAGGGGGTGGGCCCCCCATGGTCTTGGTTTTATGAAGAAGGATGGTCACATGTGCCTTAGCTGGACTAATTCTGGACATCTCCATGTGCCTGGAGAGACACCTCTCTCTCTCCACATCTCATTGGCTCAGCAGTCCCATGGATTTGCAAATATGCCTTTCCATTCCTTTCTTCTTTCAGCAAGGAACTGTGCTTGCAGCACAGCTGCTCTTTGTGAAGGAGCTTCATTTGTGCAGCTTCTTCTTCCCTTTTGAAGGACTGAGGTCACAAAGTAGCAGTGATTTCTTGGGGTCATATAGATCAGCTCCTGCAGCAGCCATCAGAGGATAGATGTGTTTTGCCCACGTAGCCTTGTTGGGGGAGTGTTGTGGTGTCACTGTCAGGACTCTTGATGATGCCAGCCATTTGGTATGTTCTACAATTTTAGCTCTCCGGAAATGAAGCACCTAGTCTAAGCTTATTATCTAATTCTAGTCTAAGCTCATGATCTAATTCTAGTTATTGAATAAACAGACACCTCTAGAAAACAAATCATCAAACCCAATTTAGACACTAGTTTTGGAATGAGTCAGGTTTCCTGGTAAAAGTGTCTGCTTCTTTTCATGGGCTATGACATTCTTAGACAGCATGCCAAAGTCTGAATTGCCAAAATTAGGTGAGTTGAACCTACTTCTCTCTTTCCCCCCTCAGAAGCCATGGAAGCCCATGGAGATAAATTATTTTGCTATCTGTTTTCCTTTATTTACATTTATGAAGACTAATGGTCACTTGCTTTCAGACCTTGGGATTCAGTTTTGGTTTATGTTTATTAAAATAGCACGATGTCCAGCAACATTGCTATCACAGCTGAAGTAGGGACTACTTTAAAGGCTAGTAGTCATCAGTAATTGTGATATGTCTCTGTAAAACAATTCCCACTGAGGGAAGTCTGCTGAACAGGGTGCCAGCCACCATTTACAGAGCACTTTGGCAGCTGAAGAAGCTATAAAAATGATACATAGAAGCAGCAGAACATCTACAGTAGTTCCAATCTGTTTACTGCTGCTGTGGTGTTATTTCTTTCACAGCTTTAGGCAAACTCATCAAAATGGTGAGAAATAAACAAAGAATAGGCACTTTTGTAGTGATGCATAGAGTGAAATGCAAATTAATGTAATTATGGAAAATGGGGTGTATAAGGCTGTCTCTCAGCACAGCATGCCCCGTGAAGAACATGGAAGGGGTCAGGGAGTTTCCAGATGTGAGACACTGGGAATTCATAGAGTGGCCAGAAAGCACTACTGACTGCTGGGAAAATCGTAGAGACTTCTGTGCTGGATGCAGAGGCAACAGACAGATCATCCATCAGAAAACGATGTTCGGGAGAAGGTGTCAATTCAACCACTGATATCCTTTGGGATGAGATTGCATCAAGTTTCTCATAAACTTCATTGAGCCATCACTTGCCGGTGCTACATAC